TTAACAAGACATTAAATTACTAATTGTTGATTTATTAATTAATATTAATTGTTTGATATGTTATATATTATAAAGTTGATGACTCTTTTGCATTCGTACCTCAAAAAAAAAGAAACAAAAAACTCTTCCGTAGTTATTTCTTTAATCTTCACAGTCAAGGACGGGCCAATGAATGAGAAGGGGGTTAGCCGCCCCCTAAATTTTTGAAAAACATTTAATATAGTACTCTAACTTTTATTTGTTAAATTTTTTTTCAATAAAATGAATTTTAAGGACCTTTTAAAATTCAGAGAAAATATTTAAAATATAATAAATAGTTTTCAAAAAATAAGGATATAATTCAAATGAAATGAATTTTATGTCTATTTAATTAATTAGAAATTAGGATCCTGAAACATTTCCTCAACTATTAAGTCTTAAAAAACACTTTGATTTTCTATTTAAATAAGTTTAAATTTATAGTTTTGTTTAATATGCTTTTTCTTTCTTTCTTAATATTATATATAATAATTTAAAGGTTTTTGTTTTAGCATTGAGGTAGGTTTTTTTTATCTTTTATGATTGAATTTATGATTATATTTTTTTGTGTTAAATCAATCTAAATTAGATTTCACTTTAAAAAAAAAATGTTCTAGTATTTTTATAATATTAGTGTTTATCAACACGAATTCCAAAAAATTAAGAGAAAAACACTTTCAAACTACTACATTGTTTCAATGAACTAAAACATTCTCATTCATACTTTAAGAATATGTTATTTTTTTCTTTTATAATTTGAATTTATTAAAATAATATAATTTTATAGTATTTTTCCTATTAATTTTTTAAATATTTGGCTAGCAAATACATTTTTCCTTTTTATTATTCTTCAATTGATCATTGCATGATTTATTACTATGATATTTTATTTTTTATTTTAATAAATGCATTTATTTCTAATTTTGTTTAATAATTTATCAATGAAAAAAAACAAGTGAATCTTTTTATAAGAAAAAGAAGATTTAAAAAAATGAATTAGTATCTTAAAAAATACTTAAAGACCCAAATCTTCAACAATAATTTTCGCTCTCCTAACCAAACTACCCGGCTTCATCCACAGTTACAAAAAACTGAACTATTCCCTGATTTACTTGAAAAAGGAATGTTCATATTTTTAGGGTGATTATCATGTTTTGTTTTCAATGATAGACTAAGTAGTTACATTTTCTTCCGTTTAGCACAAGACTAAGTGCACCTCCTTATTATAGCTTCTAATAGATATAGGAAAATTCTGTTCAAATTTCATATACTGTTGGTGATGATGGTAATTTGGTAAAGTCTCCTACGACGTGGATAACTTTATTAGATTTCAATAGGAATAGGAAATTCAAGTCTTCTATTTCTAGATTATGATTCTGTATTACTTAGGACATCCAAAAATGGAATTCATAAATCATCATTTCTGAGACTTCAAGCATATATGACTATGAGCATGCTCTTATTAAAGTTAATAACGATATCCTAAATAAAGTTTCGTTAAAAGTACTTCAGAAAAAATAAAAATTAAGAAACTCTTGTATACTTACATCCACGGCTCACGCCAAACGCTACTGCAGTCCGAGTTATTGGCGTCAAACCAAGTCCAATTCAGTTTGAAGCCCATTAGCAGATTATCGTAAATATCAGAAGCAGAGAGGCCTGAGACATTGGATAGCATGACCGGAAACTGGGCTTCAATTCTGCATGATTCATTGAAATCAGAAACCTGTGTTTGGTTATCTTTGAAAAGAAAAAAGTAGGTGTGCGGTGAGGAAGAGCTATTGGTGAAATTAGAGGCATCCACATAGAGTGCTGAGTTCATCCTCATATTGCAATTTAAAACATACATGATGCTATTCTCGGTGATATACCGAAAATAAACCACACGCGCACACGGAAATGTAAGAAGACGGGAGCAGGGAAAGGAACATTTATTCCTATGGAGACTGGCATCTAGCAGGCGAACTGTCTGCCACTCATACGAGATTTCCTCCACAAAGAATTTTCCGCATGCACTGGTGTGCAACACCGTGCGGTTGTTCTCGCAAACTAGTTCATACTCTGACTCAGGACACTTGATAGGATCACTTTTCAACCGGAAAGGGGGACTTACAATGAGGCTTCCACAGGAAGAAGGGACACAATGAGCCACACAAACATCAGGAAAAAGAGACAAAGCAAGGACCATGAAACCCAACGGTACTACAACTTTTGTTCTTGACATCCCAAAGCTAGAGTATTAGAGCGTGAGGTCTGCTTAAGGATATCTAGTAAAAAACTCTGATGATAGCAGATACGACCCAATTACGCCCAAGAAAAGGGGTGGGGGGGGAAGATTGCGCCCAATATAAACTAGGTAGCTCTCAGAGGCAATAAAGCAAACACCTAGGATGCATATTGCCTAAACTGATAGGATAACTACATAAAGAAGCCTTCAAGTTGCTGAAGAAGTGAAGAGTCCCCCTCCCCTTTGGCCGACTTTGGATTTTAAAAGGACTTGAATGGTAGGAACGCTACGTTTCAACCTCGATGGAAAAGGAAGCTTAGAAGTTTCTTCTTCTCATATTTGTCGCACAATTTGTAGCTTCCATGAAACTTAATTCAGAGGGCCAATAATCAAATGGAAACATCCATTTCAGCTAAATTTCTAAATAGCAGCTCTGAAGTAGTTTCCATCAAGTTACCTTCAACCTAACAGCCCACACAATTTTTTTTTTTTTAACTACAGTAATTGTGGGGTAGGGAAGGAATGATATTACGAGTGCGGGGCAGCTTTCGAACCCCACAACCCGGGGCCAAGTCATTGGAGCAAAGTGGCTTTTTCCACTTGCTCTTCCAAATGGTTGGCCACGGCCTACACAGTTTTACTTGTCAAATTAAAATGGCTCTGTTTCTTTCATTTATGACTTCACACTCATATTTTTGTATTGGGGTTTTCTCAACGGCTGTTTAGGTGTGACCTTCGAATCTTTAGTGGGATTGATAAATGAGATA